GCTCTAGCAGATTCTGAAGCATACTTGAGGAATGCCAGAAGATGCAAGTCTTAAGAGCACACAATTCGGGCTCTGGCAAAGGTGCACTCAAATATAAGGCTAAAGTATAAGCTATTTTAGTTTGACCATCTAAAACCCAAGACTAGTCAAGTAAAACAAAGGCTTAAACTCTTTAACCAGCCAGAGACTCCATATTTTACATAGCAGTGCTACAGCTACTTCAGAACAGTTATTTTACTTGTCCATGTCATAAATTGAGGGTTGCTGAAATATCAGAGTTCAGACAGTTCAAAGGATTTATAACTTTTTTCAATTCTAGTGTAAGTATGGTTTCAGCTATACTATCTCACAGTTGACATACAGATCTTCTGTATAAAATAATTTTAAATTCATCTCCAGTCGAGATGCAGATATATCTGAGTAATGACAATCAGAATTTTAACCCAGGGAAAGATGCTATTTCTTTGCAAGAATGCACTCCCAGCCAAGACTGTCATTGCTGTAGCTTATCTGAAGATGAGTCACTAGGGCACCTTTGAAAAATATTAACTGGAAATTAAGATGTTAGATTAGCCTATCAGCCACCAATAGCTGATTTTTGTATTAAAATACAAAGCCCTAAAGCTGGTAATAAGACACCTAGATTTCTGGATTTGAGATCCAAAAAGTTTAAAATACTGGGTTTTGTAGTTTCTAGAAAGATTTGTCACTTGTACTTCCATTGTTTCCCTATGACCTTAAACTATAGGAAATCCAAGTTCTAGCCACTTAGTTGTAGTAAGAGACCTGGGACAAGTTTTTTCAAATCTGACTGAACCAACTGCCCAGCTCTTCACCCCTGCTTCAAAAGTAGTATGAATAAAGTTACAAAAAAATGTGGGAAAAAAAAAGTGCTGAGAAAAGACATTACAAGATAAAGAACAATAGAAACTGAAGCTTGTGTGCATAGTAAAGGCCAAATGTAAAACTAATGCAATTCCTACTTTATAGATTTAAAAATAAAATGTTAAGGCTATGTTTAGGAAGTCCAGGGAAGAAAGTTTTCAGCACTGTGCAAGTTTCTAAAGCATTCTCTCCCTATTCCATTTCTTAAATCCCATAAGTCAGAATTCAAGTGTATTTTAACTTTTATGCCAGAAAGCTATCCTTAGAGGTGAAAATTAAAACTGACTACTTTCCAGTGTGAAGAGCAGGAAAGAGGACAAGAGTCTCATTGAAGTTCTAACTGCACAAGAGCTATGTAATTATGTCTTCAAGCACTCTAGCGTTCTACTAAATGGGCTACTGCAGGCCAACTCCAAAAAAAATTTCCAGTACAAATTCAGGTCCTTACTCTGATCAAGTATGAAAGCAGCATTGCTTTGTGCAACTTCGTAGCCTTGTTCTGCCAGAAGAAGATATTGAACCACAGCAGAATTTGAATCACCATCTTTATAGCTGTTGTAGGCAGTCATCAGTCTTTCAGACCAACGCCCCCGTTCACATACGTTCTTAAACAACTGCAGAAAAAAAGGAAAAAAAAAAAAAAAAAAAGGGTGAGAAGACTGGTTGTCAGGAACTTCAGAAATTTAGGTTTTGGAAGAGGAAAACCTCTAATATTCAAATGCCTGTTCAAAATACTTGCATTTCACAGGAAAAACTTGATAGATGAACTCACTGCTTAAGACAGGCTTACTCTAAGATACAGGTTACTAAGCAAATACATGCCAAGATTCAGATGCTTACTCAGAATTTTCCTTCATATCAGCTTTTTTGTTACACTTAAACCCATGTCTAAATGAAGAGTTCAGTACTTATAAAATACCGATGTTTGCTTTGCATTACATTCTTTTGATTTTCTTCAAAGTTAATACAGCAAATACAAACTTGCCGTATCAACATGAAAAATAAAGATTCTTCTCATGAGACACAAAGGAGTTTGGTAATATCTCCCTTTTCCTTTTGATAGCCTTTGCTCTGCAGTCACCAGTGGATTTTAGCTAAGACAAATTTCCTACATAAGCTGACGTGGTTATACCCAACCTTTTGCAAGTCAGTATTATTTGACCTTTATAAATGGATGACCTTACCTCAACAGCCGTATGACAGGATCGCATCACTCCAGTGCCAGTAGCATGCATCTGAGCCAGATTATAAAAAGCCAGAATGTGGCCACCCTGGGAGGCCAAGTTAAAATATTTCAAAGCTTGTTTATAGTCTCTCTTGACTCCAATGCCATCTAAAAGAAAGAATAAGTCATTGCTATTCACTCCTCTTGAAAAGCAGAGTTCTATGAAATACAGTATGTACTTACTCTTTAAAATTATTGAAGAAAAAAGTTATGAAAGTGTTAGGAAAAACCAGAATAAAATATAAATTCAGTGCAGTAAGACCACTCTACATGCAGTATATCTACATTTCTAATGCCACCTAGTGAACAGTTACTGAAAGGGCAGATGCTTAGACCCGGCAAATCATGATGTGATGCCACTTACTGTAATACATGGAACCTAGTTGAAGTTGTCCATCAACCCATCCCTGTTCTGCAGCCTTCTGGAAATACTTCAGTGCTAGCTCATAGTTCTGCAGGAAGATTTGGTCCAGTCATTAGAGCCTTGCAATACACCATAATTGAAGTAATGAAAGAAAATACACGTGTGCGCATATGTAAGTGCATGGACAGATCTATATTACAGAAAAATTACAGCAAGATGTTCTAGTGCGAAAATACTCACCTGGTCAAAATTTGGAAACAAAAAATGAAATAGCCTACAATGATATTAGCATGTCTTAAGTCTGTAGCTATCTCAAAGCTGGCATCCATATATAGCATTGCTATGAATAGTTATGCTTAACAGAACGGACGCCCTATTCTGTTTCTAGAACAATTATTTAACTTATTTCCTCAACTTTGGGCTAATTCAACTTTTGAGTATCAGTTTGCATAGCTAAATATAAAACATTTGACAAGAAACCTTCTTGTGGGAAAAGCAACAAGGCAAATGAACTAATTAAAAGGTTTCAAAGTGTTCCTCCACTCTCACAAGATAGACAAAATGGGGACAGCTAGGATTTGTCTTATTTCACAAGAAAATTAGAGCCAAGTTCAAAACTCCTACCAAAAATGCAATGCATTTCTAATAGCTTCAGCAACATTTTCAAACTTAGAGGGAACTTATCATGTTTCATAGCTGCTAACTCCATAGTGATTTTTTTTTTTTATATTACAGATTTCCTCATGGAGTTTTCAGTGTAACAGAAATCTTCACAATTAAGTCTACGGTACTTCTCTCCAGAGAAGTAGTTTGTTGACAACAAGAAGTTACACAATCACCTATGATTAGAAAGATGGCTGTCAAAAGCTTACCACTGGAACACCTCTTCCGTAGAGGTAAGCCATTCCTAATCCACTCTGTCCAACTGGATTACCCTGAAAACACAGGAAAACACTTCTGCAAAGAAAGGCAAAACCTACAGCTCTGTCCTTCAAATTTGGTATGTCTTTTAACATCACTAAAACAAATAGTGCTTAAGATAGATTTTCTTTGTAACTTTGCTCCTAGTAAGTAATAGTTATTTAGGGAGAAAATAGTATCTTTGATAACTTTTATTCAGTAACTACACAGGTGACTAACAGGAAAAATAAAAGCTTTCAATTCTAGTTATGAAAGTCTACTATGCACTTTCAAAATATCATGTGAGATATAGAACCCACACCCATAGAAAAGTGGGGCATTAGTAGCTTATTCATCTTCAGTTTTTCCAAGTTTGAGATGTTCTGGATGCTACAGAAGCTCCCAAAACAGCTACAGGAACTCTGAGAATCTGTCTTAATTTAAGGGCAGATTGGTGGCTGTCCTGTGGGCTGCATTACTGACCACTGCCCCTGCAAAAGTATGCACTATGGTATTCCTTCAGTGCCAGGACAGGCAATGGGGCACATCAGAAACCTTCAGTGAATGTAGGAAATTAGCAAATTGAGATATTGTTACTCTAGGACAGAGGTGTAGAATAGCAATCTAATAGTGGAATGCAAGAACCATGAAGACAGTTATCTTACAACAATCTCTTCAAAACTTCATCTATTGTGCTTCACATGCTAAACATCTTTCCTTGATGAAAACTGATGCTTTAACTGTACAAATGCCACTATAAGGGACAGGTCAAAGACAGACATGAGGGCTTAACAGCCAAAAACCAAACACTCCAATGAGATGAGATGTATAAATCCCAAAACATTATCTATTCACTGACCACAAAACAGAACCAAGATAACATAGTATCAGTGTACTGTAAATTTCTGTGACAAGACAACTTTGGATTAATGAAAATTAACACTTAACAGAATTGCAGGCTATTTAGGTGGATAGTATTTCATACTGATTCCAGCATTCATGAGAGCTAGACTCCTTGTGCTGAACACATCTTCATGAAGCACCATGACCAGAACTGGAGGCAGTTTCTGACATCTTAGACAAGCAAGGTTTAATTATGGGCTAATCTGGGACAGAAGTTGGGAGTAGGTGTATGCACATGGAAGTGCGTGAAAGGAAGCATTTGCAGCATTTCCCAGCTAATCAACTTTTTAATGCATATGCTGTATTTCTAGCTTACAGATAACCATACCATATCAGCAGCTTTCTTGAAATACTGAAGAGCTGTTTCATTGCTCTGAGGTACAACATCACTTCCTTCTGAGTACATCTGAAGGAGAAAGGCATTATTGAAAAACAGTGAAGAAGTCAGTTTAGCATGGAGATCATAAAGCATCTTCACTTTGCATGTGAGAGGGAGACTATTGTACTATTAGACTGACTATTGCATTATGGAATAATCATTAAAGAACTTGCCCAGAAGCAGAAAACACGTCTCTATGCTGTAAAATTCAGATTCAGAGGGTTTAACTTTCTAATGGAGAATGAACTGTCCATAAAATTAAAAAGTTTTCATGAAAATACCCTTCATTTTTGAGTTCTACCAGTGTGCAGTGAAGAACACATAATTGGGCAAAAATCTTGTAAGACCAGTGGAAGTCAAACTATATTGGCAGTTAAAATACTTCTTGAAAACAAAACAAAAATTGATTACTAAACCCTGTTCATTTCAGCATTTATTAGATACAAAACACCCAAGCAGGGTGTACAAAACACAGGGAAAGCAGGAACCTGCAATTTCTCCTGTCAGCACATTCATGCTCTAAGGACATGAATTTTGCATCCTCTACTGCAGTGACAGCCTGAAAAAGATGAGCTAGAGCTGCTGCTTACTGCAGCCTAACCTTAGAGGGTACTCAAATGGAGTAATAAGGATTTAGCTCCTCACAGGGTGAAGGTAGCCTGCAACCCAGATCTCAGGCAAGTGACCCAAATACCTTTCTAAGCAGTAACACATATCACCATTAGCAGCTTGTCAATCACGTTTTAGATTAACAAAAGGACTTAAATGTGAGAAAACTGACACAATGGCCCACCTTGCAGATAGACTCAGGCTTTGGTTCAGAGTAGATGCAGACCTATTGGCAACTCTGACTCAGATGCCTCAGTTCTCTACGCAGAATAAGAATACAGATGTCTTTCCCCTTTCCTTCCTGAATTTAGTATTTCCCACTAGGCAAAATTTTGAGAAGCTTAGCTTTTCCCCACACACTGTGTGGGGGCTGAATCCCACCACAGAAAAAGGACAATTAGGTATTTAACTATTTAGTTTTTAAAAAAAGATCTAGTTCAAGCACTATTTAGAAAAAACAGAAGTTCCTAAAGCAAAGGAGCAAGTAGAAAATTTAGACTAGACATACTAGACTATGACATTCGAATGTTGCAGGACAATTCAAAACAGTAGCAAAGCACAAGTACTTCGATTCCAGCATTCAAGTTTTAGACTACCTGATATGAGAAAGTAGGAAATATGTGTTATTTTTCATTGAAAGACAGTCAATTTGCTTACTTTTGAGAGTGTTTCTGTCCATCTTACCTTTCCTAGAAAGGCCATGGCATGTGAATTGCCAGCATTAGCTGCTTGATTGAAGTACTCAAATGCTCGCTGTAGGGAAGAAAACAAGTATTTTAGCCACCATGACTATGATTTGAGTACCTTTTCTTGCAAATAGAGCAGATGCGAGTAGGTTGTTTGCCAAATTACAAGGTTCTTCTGGAGATGAGAGTTATCAATCCCACCTAATTTAATATACGTAGCAGGGTTCCCCACTTATAATCAGAATATTGAGCAGCAATCCCTCTCAACAGTGTATTCCAAAAAGCAGAGGGGAAAAAAAAAAAATACTACAGCTGCTACTATGCACAAGCTACACAGGTAAATCTTACTTCCTTATTGTATCTCCAAACCCTGTTTAGAAGAGGAGAGATCTGCCAGTTCCTATTCCAGTTTTACACAGAGCTTGGTTATACTCATTCTGACCACTTGATATCATCTCTGAACCCTTATAGAGCAGTCATTTTAAGGTGATTAAATGTGATGACCAGTTGGTAACCAGTCTGAAATAATCCTCAGGACTGCACATCCTCAGCTTTCCATTTTTTCAACATATACTTTAAGAAGAGGTTAGCTATTTTAACTTCTATAAGCAGTAGCATCAGCAGAAGTTCTATTATCTATGCACACTTAATATCCTTAGTATTGAAAGTTGCACTGCTTTGTCTACAGAAGCAAAATATTCTTGCAAGCCACATAAACTAGACTATCATTGCTAATGCACACACAGTGCGTCATGAAGATTCTACTACACGTACAAAAGCTCAGCCTGTTCCAAGTACTACTTGATGAAAATCTGGTCTTTGTTTTTGACTTCCTCATTTCTAAGATGATTAGTCTTGAACTAATTGTGTAAGAAAATCAGTTCCATGTACTAGTCACATAAAGATTAAGTTTTATTGAATGAATTAAGTTTTATTGAACAAGACTACTGAAGTCATTAAATACCTTACAGTGGTACTTAAACACTTTTGCTTCACTGTGGTCTCAGCTATACTTTCTCCCCCTCCACCAAGCATAATATGCATCAGAGATACACAGAAAGGGTACCTGATGATTTTGCTCTACTCCTCTTCCTCCGTGCAAGTGTAACTGTCCAAGGCCAACCTAAAAATAAATTTTTGCATTGCAAATAAGTCACTTTTCTGTAGGGACTTTCTTTTTCTAGTAATACAGATACCAGTGAGCTAATTACATGCACAAAGACAGACCATATCAGAGTTAAAGATGCCACAAAGTCTGAAGGCACAGATTTGCTTCAATAACTGCAGTCCTATTTTTTCACATTAGCCTAAGCAGAAATTTATCCTAGATAAAAGTTATGTGACTGTCCTAGATACAAAATAATAATTGTTCATTTGAATTCTGCCTACCTAATTCTTAAGCCATATATGATCAAGTCGAATTGTGACAATTTGCCTGTATTAGTGTCCTCCCCTCCTGCATTATGTGTAGAAGAGGTCCAGCCTGCAGCATGCAGAAGTCATGTAAGAGGAGAAGCAGCGAGAAACTAAGGTCCCCTGTCAGGGCCAGTTCTTTTGATCAAGGCTTCCTCCACAACATCTAAAGCTATCCTTAGACTAGTCTGGCTGGTTTCTATTGGAAGCCAAGATCCTCTTTCCTAAGATACTAAAGTTATAATGTTTTGGACTTATTTTCCACACAAATTTGCATTTTCTGTCCAAGTTCTACCTTAAACACATTAAAATATAAGCCTCTTCTCATAAAGACTAATGAGGAAATAGCAACCAGGTTGATTTAGGAGGAAGAGAAAACTAAAGCTCCAACGTCTTTCCATATTTCATAAAGCTGTTCCTGTAATTCTTGAAAGCCTCTGCATACCATCAGGTGAACTTAATCTTACCTGTGCTTGTACATCTCCTTTCTCTGCTAAAAACTGATAATACTGAATCAAGTCTTCTTCTAGCATCCCACTTGCCATTCCTGGATTTTCTACTTCATCTGCTAAGCGAATTCGCTGAACCACTGTGCCACCAGTCAAAGAAATGTCACTAGCAACTGGAAAACAGGTAAGATAAATTTTCAGACAGTTTTGTTCAATACAAATATTACACTGCAACTTAGTAAAAACAGATCTCTACAGACCTTCAAACTATTACTCAGAAAGAATTAATTACTTTGACACTCTCTAAGAATTAAAGACATTTCAACAGATAGAGATAAAAATAGCATATCATGATTCAGAGCCAAACAGATAACTCATTTAATAGCTGGTATTCTCTATTTTTGTCCTATTAGTGTTGATAGTACTTCTAGTACCTTCTAGGTGAATGATATAGAAATACATAGAAAGAACGTTAGCCTAGTAAAAAGTTTTTACCGTGATTAGCTACAAGTCGGTAGTGAGTGAGAGCAGATTCACAACTTTGAAGGACTCCTATCCCAGCCCAGTACCGGTAACCCTAGAAAGGAACACAAAAAAATACAGGACTATAATTTATTTGACAACATACTGCTTGCGAGATTACAAACTTTTTTCACATTACTTGAGCAAGATTTGATGAGACAATAGGCAAAACAAAGGCCACAGGTCCATTGTGTCTGCATTAAAAACAACTGACTGATACCATTAAAGGTTAAGCATAGCTAATATACTTCAGATATTACTCAAGAAAAAGCAAATAAGCAGAATGGTACTTATGGGTGAAAACCTAAAGCCTTTTACTTACACATGTTGCACTTTATTTGTCTTAAATCTCACAATACTGATTTAAACAGGATCTTCTGTAAAGATCTCTGGCTTTCACAGTTCTCATTAGCCTATAAAAATTAAAAGTCTGACACTTCTGCTTTAAGTCAAGAGATGTAAACACAGTCCATCTAGATTCACAGTGGTATACAGCTTACAATGAGCAGACTTTTCCTTAAGTTAACAAGGAATAACAGGGAGGATACTATTGCCCACCCAATGCATGCATGATGATCTAATATTTGGACAGTGTATTCACATGAATGCAAACCTTACATTAAATATTTAAGAGTACAAAAAAGTTCTTGCATGTGTAAAGTTACTAACTATCTTACTTACCAAGATCATATGGGCGATCAGATTTCCTCCTAAAGCTCCAAAAGTGTAATACACCAGGGCCTTAAAACAAAATCATTGGTTATTTAACATCTGCCTCCAAGATAAAATACAGGAGCACACACTGAAGATTTCTGAGTTACCTTAGCTTGACTAGAATTCACTCCTAGACCAGATGCATATAGAAATCCAAGAGCCTGGAAATAAAATAAAGTTTGTCAGCACATCCTTTGAAAAATCCAGGATCAGTTTTCCTGGAATACAAAAGTATAAAGAAGTCAAACAACAATTCAAAGCTGCAAAGAATATGTCAAGCACTACCTTCACTTTGATACCCTCCTATGTCTAGGCCCTTCCCTGCCCCTTTTAAAGTTTGAAGTTTCTAAATTATTCAGTTGCCTAGGACACTAACATAAATACAAGTCACCAGAATTCAGTCTAGTGGATCGAATGCAAGGAAAAAATGACTACTTGCCTGAATGCCAAACGTAGATCCAAAGGTCCTGAACAGTAAAAGTATCCCAGTTTAAAGACCCTCAAGTGAAGATCAACTATATTTGTCAGGTTATTCATGTAACCTATTTGTCTCATACACCAGTGCAAACATACATGAACCATGAACTTCTCTAGAATAGTCTTACTGTTTGATTTACTGTCTAATAGATCGTATGAATCTACTATTTTGCATCTGTTCCGCCATGGGTTAGTTGCATTTATGACTATAAATATAAGCAGTTAGAATGCACAGAGCTGTTTGGCTGAGGTTTTTTCAAAAGTTATTTTTATTCTTAAAATTTACATAATTACTGCTCTATCTGTAACACCTGTTACAGCTGTGTGGCTCACAGGAGAAACTAGTAGCACAGAAGATAGAAGTATATATAAAAAGGTGTCTATATTTCACAGTGTTCTAAAACTATTCTAAGACTATTTCACACTATGTGTGAAAGCACACCCCCCAAAAAAAAAAAAAAAAAAAAAATCACCTCATGCAGACAGTATTGAATTATAGACCAATAAAAGTCAAAGTCTTCACTGAGATATAAAGTCGCTAGAGAAAACATGTTCCTGCTTTCTATGGTAACTCAGCACTCCAACATTAAACAGGGAACAGCAGGACACTTGGTAGCCAAAGACCTAAAAGAAACTGGATAATTCCTAAAGAAGCTGACACTTCCAAAGCAAGAGACAATTAAACAATAAGTATATGCAGATATTGAGATATTAAAATTGATAACACCCACATTTTATGACATTACATGTGGACAATTACATATGAACAATTCTATAATGTTCAAAGGCACAGGGACAAAGTGAGTCCCATTCCACTAAACAGCTTTCAAGATTCCTAGTTTATAACTTCCTAGATTATAAATTTGTCTGTGTGTATATCTACCCATCTCAAAGATAAAACTGCAGATGAAAAGCCACAACATCGCACACAAATGACAAGAGAAATGAAAAGTAACACAGAGTTTCAGCGAAGATTTGTTGGCTGGAGTTATCTGTATCTACCTGTTTTTTGACTTATACATCCAATCTAGTCTGTCACACAACAGATTAATTAATTAATTTATTTAATTAATTAAATCAAAAGACCACTACCATACTATATTACTGGTAGTTTAATGCTGTTTTTTCAAACTCAAAGAGAAGACCTGTTTCCATGCATTTACCTTGAGAGTGCAGGTCCATTTGCCACTGCACCCTCAGTAATGCTAGCAGCATGCAGAAGCCAGGTAAAGCAGAAGCATTTGGGGGACAACCTTTGAACTGAAGTAAGGCACTGGTGAAATTTAAAAAGGTAAAGGCAATGCGCAGTCAGGATCAGGAAATGCTTAGGCAAGCATTAATAAAATACATTACCTGAATCAGAGCCTGAACCAAACATTTTACATCAAGTTTTCAAACAATTTAAAAAAGCAGCACTCTGTCTGCTGTCTTTTTTAACAAGGCAACAAATACCACTTACTGATGTCATTCTATTCTGGATGCAAGAACAATCTACAAAACCACCTTAGAGTAAGTACAATCTATAAAACAATTTATAAACCTGTAAAAACTTTTGTAGAATCTAAGGATATACATACCATTTGTCCTTTAGGAGACCCTTCTTCTGTTAGTTTTTCAAATAGTTCTTTTGATGACTGGATGTTCTGCTTCAGGTAATCCCCAAACAACAAAGCATAAGACACTTTCTCCATTGCCTTGGTATGATTCATGTCAGCTGCTTTCAGAAGATATTGATATGCTCTTAAAAGAAAACAATTTCTTAGTCACCTTGAGGCAAAGAAGCAGATTCCATTCATAAACCTGAAGATTCTGGGGAGGTGTTCTGTTCCTCTGTTTTAGGCTCTATTTTCTACAAGTGCATCTACCTACAGTCATTTTTTCCAGCTCTGAATTGACAATCTATGCAACAACTCATATGATTTAGCTAACAGAGAAACTGGATTTTAATTTTCACTCTACTCCATATGCAAAGCAGTATGCGTTTCCTCCCCTGCAAGATATATGAAAAGTTTAAGGTCAAATGATCATGTTTTTGTAGCAACAATTTTAAGTCCTGTACTAGGTATCTAGTAGGACCACTACTCTGACAGCTTCACAGATCATGATAGAAGAAACAAGCCTGAAAAAGACTATGGAGTCTCTTTGATTTGTTGAGTACAAAATCATTCCAATGAAAACAGTAAGTGTAGGGTCCAATACAACTGCACACATCATCAATTTTGTGATGAAACAGTCATGCTAACAATGAGAAAGTTCTCTGGAAACTCCCCTTTTTATTTCAGCCCTCAGAACTTACAGTAGTCCTCCAAAGTAATTTCACAGCAGCTGGTTTCACAACAACTTAAAAAACTGTAACCTTAAACATCATAACACAGTACTGTCAAGCATGCTTTAGCTTGATTTCTCATGGACCTTTGATAGCATTCCAAGATTTTTCTTCACCTCTCCTCCTTTCTATTCTCAGACTTGTTTTCTTTCTTTAGGACAGGCTGAGGCACACCTGGTTCCTCACATAATTTCATCTTCTAAGAAAGTGTAAGGTGTTCAAGAGAACTAAGATCTAATATTGTTTTACAATTCCTACACTATTTTATACAAAATAATTATTAGTCGGAGTCTAACAGATACTGTCTCCCTTTGTCTTTGCTAAAGTGTGATGGACAACCTCTAGCAGTGCTTCAGTTTCGTTGATACATAAAGTAGAAATATGCTCCCTTATCTCCACAAACAAGTTTAACACGGTAATAGTGCCCACATAATAATCAACAGCCTGAAGTCACCACTTACTGATGAAGTTGTCAACATGAGTACCAGGGAGTTCTAAATTAACATAGCTATTCTTAATTATAGTGGTAAGCTGACAACTATTTCATCAGTAATTGGACACATACAGAGTAGAAACTAAACAGATCAGAATGAACAGAACGCTCATTTCTTTTTTTTTTTTTTGTTTCGTCTACAAGCATTACCCTTTTCTCTCATACAATGTTAATTATTAGAATTTTAACAATTTGTTGAGATTAAGTTTAATACTATTTTTATGGTGACCGAAAACATCAGAAAGCAGGAACAAAAACAGAGCAGGACAATAAATGCTGATTTTTCCCACTTAATCGTTGAAGCAGAATGAGAACCAGACTGTAAGAAACATTTGAAAAAGGACAATTATCTTGTATCATGTTCTCAGGTTTTTTTCTGGGCAGTTGCCACATGTAAGTTGTAGCTAGAGAATTGCGGCACCATCTTGCATTAAGTCAATGTTTTGATGACATCCACTCTTCAGAAATTAATCTTATACAATTTTTAGTGGATTCAGAGGAAAGCAGGCATAAATTTGTTTTTCTAAATACCCTGAAATTACTATTTCTTTTCACTACTATCACTGCATAGTTTGATGCTAAGTCCAATAAATTGCAAAGTCCCAGGGCAACTCATTTAAGTTATTTTTCAGTTAAGCCAGAGTGACCAGCCGTGTCATCCTTCTCTTGTGGGGGTAAAGGAGGTAGACTTACTCTTTCTTCTGAGCCTTTTTACTGCTTTCATTAAGGATTTTCATTCCAGTCTGATAAACATCCTCAGCTTCTTGCATCTGTCTTCTTCTATTAGACTGCTCTTCAGCTTAAAAAAAGAGAAGAGTATATTAAGAGCTCCAATTACACAGCTCAAGACTATTCTCTCAAAATTCCTATTGGTTCTAAAGAGAAAATACAACCAAATATGTTTCTGAAGACCAATAAATAAGCGAAGTGATTAAAAAAGCTGTCTCAAGCAGGTGTTGGATATCTTGGTAGACAGTTTCTTCTCACTTGATGTCTCTCATGTGCGAATTTGCTGTTAAAATATTCTTTTCATTGCTCCAAAGCAAGCTGTGTAAGGAAGAAAGGTTCCTCCTTCAGGAGGACGTTTCCTAGAGAAGGGTTGCGTTTGTGCAACAAATCAGTGAGTATAATGGGAAACACTGTCAAACCCCTATACTCCTACAGCCTCAGAAACTAAGAGTTTTATGATGCCTCCACTGCAAGATTTCCCAAATAGCTTTGGGAAGTGGCATTTGCATTATAATCTTTTCCATCATGAGAACTTTGCCTTTGTAATTACTTGTATATCACAGTATAAAGTGGCCATTAATATATGACAGGGACTTCTAGACCCAGAAATAAAGGGCATTGAGAGGACTGAAAATAATAGCTTAAGAAAGCATTCCTTGGACAAGACATCAGGTTACTTACTTTCACAGAAGCCCCACTTTTGATCTTTCTTGTAATCGTAGGTCGTTGCACACCAAAGCCTGCCATCTTCTCTCCCATCTGCAGTGCACTCTGCATACTCCTTCTCCATAAACAAAAAGGGGAAGTAGCAAGGTTCACCATCTGCAGTGCCTCCAATAGCTGTCAAAACTGAAAATACGTACCCAGGAATTAGACTGCTTTCCTTTACTCCACTAATTAAAGTCATCCACTACATATGGGAAAGCACTCCTATGTTGGTTTTGATTTCTATGAACTGCATTTAATCAAGTTTTCAGTAAAATTTCTAATTTACAAAAGCCTGAAAAAGCAATTATTTTTCTAAATAGCACTTGAAAAAATATTATTCTTATTTTTAATTAGAAATGAAACAGAAGGTATGTGGTTTCTTACATTCCTTAGTTCTAAGCAAAGAAAATATTTTTGTTTAGATTGGAAAAGGCAAATCTTGGTTACATTTTTATTGCCTACCAAAATAAACAGCCCTTCCTTTCACTTTCTCTTCTCTGCACTCCCTTCCTCATGCAAAAGACTACCCTTGAAGTGCATTCCAGTGCATATATTCATTTTAGCCCCAGGGTTAGACGTAATCATGACAAAACCACTCACATCGCCAAATGTGATACTGAAAGTACTTGAATATCAGCAGGGAGTACACTTAGAACATACAACTGTAAGAAAAGACTTAAATGAAATCACTATGAGTCCAGTCATTTTCTATTGTTGCATATACTTATATTGAAAACTTTATTTCACTGCACCAATATATTTAAGTTGCATTCAAAATTACTTTGAACAGCATGATTTATCATTTCTCATAAACTAGAAATTCAAAGGTTACTTATTGCAATATTTTTAAACAAAATCAGTCTTCTATGAAGACTAAGAATTATCTTCATTTTTTGAAAATGAAATTATTTCAATTAGCCTTTTATAAAGATTCTTCCTCTTTCACTAAGCTAAATCCAGCAGTTGGGTTCAGCTTCATTTGAAGACATTTACAAAGTCATGCAATTGAGAATGTCAATTATACGGTGTTTTTTCAAGTTAAATTTGTAATTCTTGTGGTTACAGAGAAAGCTAGTTCTTTTTTCTAGGGTCTATACTTGTAAGGCCTAGAGACCATACTAATTTAAAAATCTCACGTTGATTTTTTGAAGCATAAGGAAGTCTCCAGGATTAGTTGACCTGTTCAAATTGCTCTTCATAATTTGATTCCTTGGCAGATGTTCCACCATACCACTCCAAGTTAATTATCCCATAACACACAAGGAAAAATGTTATTTTCAGAAATTGCATTCAAAAACAATGTGTCCAGATGCAATTAGCCTGGAATCATTTCAGACATCTGTTAACCACAGCGTAATGCACAAACTCATGCTAAGGGTATATGTAACTACAACTGATAGGACCTCTTATCACTGTCATTTGAACAAACTCCAGGTCCAGGATATTAAAACTATTTGAGATCTTGAAGTTTTACTTGTATTGTTTAGTACCTTGTCTCCTACATTGAAAGCAGTTGGACACGAACCATTTACACAGTGCTCTGCATGAGTTAGCTGTACACTGAAGTTATGAAATTACTCTGCCCCAGTCCTCCCCCTTGCCTTTTTTTAATTCTAAATTCAACCATAATGCTGTTTTTCCCCCCTGATAGTAACAAATACTAACCCCTACAGCAACACAGCAATGCGATCACAGAATAAAATGCTCACCAGAGTTATTTTATCATGTACTTAACGAATGATAAATACAAACTGAGGCAAATAATTTACTCAGAGGATAAATTACTTTTTGTCAAAGTGCAAGTAGCAATTTACCTGGTTTACTATGTCTGAATAAAGTATATGGTATTTTATCATTATATTTTGTCCTTATTTACTTACATCTCATCTCACACTTTATGGTGCAGGAAACCCAAATATAGATTTATTATAAGTATTGGTTACATTACTGTAAGATTCCTTCAAATAGGAAAACAAACGCAACAGGAATTGCCAGCTCTGTATAAACTCGTGGGCAGTTTTCAGCAAAAACTGTTAGTATGGAACTTGATTGTTACAAAAACATACCACACAAAAGATAAATAACTAAAAAATACCATTTTCTTTACACACAAGACCTCCTCGCTAATCAGAAGAGAGCAGGACAACTTCTTTCTTAGAAGGTTAAAAGCCTTAGTAGTACTAATTCTAAATTACTGAAGATGAAATTTTTTCCTGCTCAATATCCTGCAAAATACTCATGGAAACTTGAAGAATATTATTTTTTTCCATGCAATCTCATGACCATACACAGGAGCCAAACTGTACTTAGAAAAGCTTTAATCTCCCTTAATGCAGTCCTGTCACCAGTAGCTCATTCAAAAGATGTAACATCTGTACCCGAGGTAGATTCCTGTCCTGCCCAGTTAAAGTTTGCCAGTAAAGCTGTCGTTTAGCTGTCGTTTTTTTCCTGCCAGAATACAAATACTTTTAGATAAAACCAGTAATCCTTCCATCCACATCACTTATTTACTTCATAAGAGGTTCCAAAAACTGCACAAGACTTAAATTTATGGTTTTTGAAAGTCACTTACAATACTTTTACAGGTGTAGTTAAAAACCTCAGTTGCCAGGGAGCAAGCCATCTGGTTACACCTTTCTGATGTGAGAGTAAAAGTATCTTAAAGTTTGCTTTTGAAATAGACTGCACTGACTAAATATGGTGCTTAGCTGACTGTTTTGTGGCAGCAAGCTGTTTGGTGGATTTTATATACCTTTTTCCTGTACAACACCACACCTATCGACAGCAATACTTAATCCTATTACTGAGTTTTTACAAACTAGTTCTGCGTTAATAAGGAAGGCTTATTAGAAAACACTGAAAGTTAGTATACAACGGAGCTCATTTCACAACTCCTGCTTTCTTTTGACATTCAAATCTGAGTTGAGAAGATAGACAAATACTTATATTATCATGTAACTATATTTTTTTCAGTAAAGTTGAAGATTTACTTTCTATGGACAAGTGAAAAGGAAGTGTCTTTGCTGCATAGGCTAGGGTACTCAACTGCCATATAGTTATCATCCACTACTAACTGCAGGTCAAAAAATCATATTAAATTTATATTTTCATTAGTAGTAAAAAAGAAATACTAGAATTTCCTGGGAATTAGGCACAAGGATATAAGGTTTTACCTATATTTAAAACCTTACTGAAGTTTACATTCAATTTAGATGTTGCCTTAAGGCTCCTAATGCTGTCCTAGGAAGCTTGTCTTTGCGTAACAATTTGTTCCTTCTCTGTTAACTGACTCTCCAGGCAAACAGCCAGCAGGTTGAAACACTGATGCTATTTCTCTTTCTATGTTTGGTATACATACACACAGCATAGTCTGTGTACTTGAGTCCTACTTGAAGAATCAGGGCTTTCTCCATTCGATAGTTAAAGCTTTCCAAGAAGATGGAAACAACAAGAATTATGTAAAACCCTTTCAAATGCATCTAAAAATAACCACTCAGGCTTCAATCACAATATATTTGAAAACTTTTTGGTGTTGCTTTCTAATGGAAAAGGCAGCAATTACCATTCCATTCCAGAAAGGTTAAGACACTAGTTATTTCATATGTTCAAAATTACTATTTGTGTTCATCCACATGCCAAAGTTACTCAGATGCATCTTTCTTGCCACTTGTTCAAAAGTCTGTGAGCAGTTACCTGGACTCTGTATTTCTGCTTCTTCCAAATCTTTATTTAATAGATTTGACATTTCTAGAGAGTTCAACTCTTCCAGCGAATTCTGTTTTTCCTCCTCCTGACTGTGAAAGTTCTCTTCATCCTCTGACTGAGAGTCCGATTTCCCTGATTCAAGGAAGATCTGACCTGCTACCACTCGAGTTCCTGTGGAATGGTCCTTTACCTGGTCCTCTGCAGATAAAGTCTGAAGGAAAGCGGCCACATAATTTAGAAAATTAGAAACTGAGCAGCAACAGCTGGCAAAAAAGACATTACTTTTTAAAGATATGATTAATTAACATACTAAGTTTAAACAGTAGCATCAAAAGTAAGTTGAGCTACCTCTATCAGCTCTCATTGACTCTATCCCTTTCAGTTCTTTGAAAAGAAAAAATTTTTTTTTTCAAAGATATAACACAACATTAATTTCTTCAGTGCATCAGAAGAATCAATGAGACAGCAAGAGCTACAGAACAGTTTAAAACAGGAATCAAATCTTAGTTCTGAATTTCAGACTTTTGCTCTCACTCCACAAGAAAAACAGAATGACTAGAAACTTATTTCCTCACCTTTGAGTCCAGCGATTCATCTTGATTTCCCTCTTCATCTAGAAGAGATGTTGTAAGTCAGTAAAAAGCTTTTTCACGAGCAATTTTCTCAAAATAAAAATAAGTTTAGCTATAATATTGTACCATGGTTCTGAAGTATTCTAGTGTACTAAGTTGACTAACGCACTTCAGAAAGACCTTGTTAGCGTTGTCAGGAAGAATCAAATGTTTCACAGACAATCCTCTTCCTTCAATTATGCCAACACAACTGTGTGTCCAATACTGGAAAAAAGTGTGGATTTTTATTTTTTTTAGACCCAAATCAATCCTCTAGATTGCTACACAGTCTGAATTGTTCCATTCCAACTAAACTACTTTAAAAGGTATACATCAAGTGAAAAGGGCCTATGGAACCTAAGGTTTTTAGTCACCAAACCAGCTTTAGTATAAACAGCTTCAGTAGCAACCAGAAAGTTACATTAATACCACCCCACTCATAATTAAACATTGTTCTTTATAGAATGCCAATTAATTTTGCCTGATCAGCATATTCAAACCTTTATATAGAGGTCTCTCTTCAGAACTGTGATAAATTAGTTTGTCTTCAAGATACCGTTCAAGAGCTGCAAGCCTTGTTTCTTATCGGAATGGGCTATAATATGAATCTTGATAAGAAAGATCGGAAAGAGAAGAAATGGTAAAGAAGAAAGGCTATTAGGCAGAGACCTGAAGGAATAGAGGTGAAAAGGAGGGAGAAGATAATCAGAAAAGCTTATTTATGACATTTTTACCATTGTTTTACAGAATTGTCTCTTATTTCCTTTGTTCCTGTAACTTAAACAGGCTACTCGAACAACTTGGTTTGCACTATCATCTCGAATAAAAGCCTCTAAAATTATCACAGCCAAAATGTGACTGTTTCCAGCCATCAGTATCTGATACCACCTCATTTAGGTAAAAAAAAACCCACCCCATTTGAAAGAAGATGCTACAGACCTCCCTCTCTCCGGTACCCAAGTTACTTAAACCAAAATAAAAGCTCAAAATATAAAGAGATGACTAAGCAAAGCTGCCACTAACTCCTACTACATTTAGAAACTCCCCCCTTCTGAGACTCTGGGATGTGTAATGCCCTATAGCAGTGGTAAGGCGTTGTCAAGCTGGAGACCTGCACTCTGACTAGAAAAGGTACCTAAACTGATAGAAGTTAGTGCCCTGTACATGAGGTACACCATTTAGTATGTTATGTTAGCGATTAAAGACTACCTGCACAAATACTGAATGCCAACAAAACTCTCCAAAAGTTTATAGAACTCTGCTGACTTTCTGTAAGCATTTGGCAGCAAACAAAATTTGCATACTTTTCATCCTCATGCAAGTAAAGTGTCTTACCAGAGATAAATAATCTCTGAACTGACAAACTACAAACATGACACTTTTTCAGCTCATGTTTTGAAGGCTATTACTCTAACAGAGCAACCACAGGCATTTGCAATGAAAGGGCTAACCTTGGAACCCAGATTCCAGAAGGCTATTTCCACATTGTTATTTGAAGTATAACCTTTGATTAGAACAAGTAAGTAAAAAGATGAGGATCAACTTTAAGCTGTAACAGCATAATAAAAATCAAGAAAAAATGCTAAGACTTCTAGTGAAGCTGCAAAACTAAGGTGACAAGAAGTTAGACAGTGCAACTGAGACAATAGTCTGTTGAGCATACTGAAGAGGATGTAAAGCTCAAAAAATTTGACTGCCAGCAGAAGAATCTGGAACAGTCGGTGTGGGTAAGCAGCTGTAACCTACAGGTCCAAAAATGAAAGTATGTAGAGCCCTGCCAAAAAACTAGTGGAGACAGCAAAGAGCACTCCAGAAGAAACAGACCCTCCAAGTAACAACTGAGACAACATAAGAACAAACACCAATTTGGAAAAAAACACTAAAAGAGGCATAAGAAAAAACAAGGCTAGCTGCATTTTTGGCAGAGACCACAGTGCTTATCAGCTTGAGGAATCTAACAGATAAGGCTGATTGTGATAAGTCATAAGTTCTACCACTGAACTTCAATACTTCATATCACATATAACAGCTGGTTTTTAATTACGGTAAAAGTACGTATGCATTTAGGATACTTGCTGGTCCTTTCTATTTTGAAACTATGAAACAAATTTGAAGTTACTGTGTTTCCCACAAATTACATTCTACTATCCTAAATAATTTTGATCCAAAACCAAATCCCACCCCTACAAGTTCAAACTCCAGAGCTGGTCAAGAGATTCAGACATGCTTCTGGAGTGGGGGAAAACTAAGACAGGGCTAACCTACCCAGTAGCTTGTATGCTGCTATTAATATATACAAAGCACTTATACAGTACCTGTTACTACAGGAGCAAACATCATGTTACTTTTAACAGCTATACGAGCTAGGGTGTTTGTTTTCGTCAGCTCAGAAACAGCCTATATGCCTGACAGCACTAGACCATTCTAGGTTTTTGGTAAAGGCTCTACTGATTTCAATTTGTGGAAGGTTGACTTTACAACAAAAGACCACACAAGGTCAAACATAAATAGGGTATACTATCTACGCACACATATCAAAGAACAATTTTATCGTAACTTCATACACAAAGCAAAACGTTTACTAAATGGAAAGGCAAGAGACATCTGAGCAACATAAGGTAGAGCTCATTAAATGTTTGCTCTTCTTTATTGAAAGTAAATAAACCTATTTCATTTCTATTGCATCATTTAAATTCTCTCTGAAAGAGCCAGCTTTGTTATTAAGTTGTAGTACTTGAATAATTGTATTCAAAACGGTGGTTCCAAAACAGCAGTAAAGCAACAATAAAATATTTGTTTAACTGTTCTTAGCTCTGGGACTTCGTTCTAAGTTAGGCAGATGAGGTTGCAGTGATGGCTGATAATGTAACTAGAGGAGGGATCACTTACAGCCTTGTTATTTCACAGAACTGCTGACTAATATGCACCCGCTACTCATAGAAGTGTGTCTACTTCTAAGAAACAGTTAAGAAAACTATTCTGAAAGTGTTAATGAAAGATCTATGGAACCTAAGAACAGCTTATTAGTCAAGGCTCAACTACTAAACAAAGTCACAGATGTTATGTTTGTGCACCTGCTTCAGAGATTAAAGCTGATAGTTTAGTTTGTTTTTCCACAGTTAAATTAAAAAAATTACTTTGTTTTTTTGTTAAATTTGGGTCTGCTACCAAGGCTGCCTAATTCTATACACCCCTTCTGAAAAGGCCAATTGGAAATTAATCCTGCCATTTGTTAAACAAATTAGGGAGATGCAATGATACATTAAAAGGAAAAAGTAGGCAAAAATACTTGTGGCTGAAACGTTGGGCAGCTGACAATGTTGTACAGAATGCTTCACTTACAAACAGCGCTGAGCTGTAGACGCCGCTGCGTGCTCTCGTGCCCAGCTAGGACTCTAGAGCACTTCATACAGCTAAAAACTTGTTTCAACCTTCCACCACTTCATATATAATTAAAATCATCTTTAAAAATGTATTCATTTTCCCTCAATTAGAAAGACCAGTGTTCAATCAGTCTATTTAAATATAGCAAAAGTACTCTGGCAGCCTATGCTAGATAAAAAGATCCTACCATATGCTGGATAAAGAACCTACCATTTTGTGAGAATTACCATTTTCAAGAGAGCACTATGGAGAGAGAGGTAGAAATAAGAAGAGCTATGCAGTCTGATTCAGCAAGAAGAATGTCATTAGCTTGAGGGAGCCCAACAGTTCCAAAGTTTTGCTCTATTAGAAGAACAAATCAACTGACAGCCTATAAAGCTAAAGGACTGCTACTACCAGACAAGAAATACTATTAGTTTCAACATTAGAATGGTCACTCACCTTTGGGAAATAGCCAAAAATTCAGTAAGTGCAAGCAGCTGGCAATCTCCCAAAGCTCTGATGAACGGCCTAACTGATTACTGTAGTCAGTTTCCTTCCAGCTTTTACGAAGCTCTTCAAGCTTCAAACGCTATCACAACAAAGCGACTAGTAAGCGTTTGCATGCCATAGAGCAGTGATCTCCAAAGTGGGGTGTGTACACCCCAGGGGGTGCACTAGCCAACCCACTGGGGTGCAGGAAGAAAATACTTTTTGTACCACTAATAAATAAAACTTTTCTTAATACAGTGTTTATTTCACCTTTATCTCATTCTTTTTTCATTTCTGTTTTTGTGCATGTTTTATGATGTACATAATATGTTAGTACAGAATTACATACATGTATTTTTTTGTAAGTTAACATTGAAGATGCACACTCAAAAATTTTTTTACTGAGAGGGGTGCATGAACAGAAAAGGTTTGGCAACGACTGCGTTAGAGCATCCATCAGAGATCTTCTGTGGTATTTTTAGTTATTTCTTTCAATGTTCTTTTTGTGCAAGTGACTAGTTAGACTTTGAAAGAGAATGCATACCCTGTTTAACCTATTCTTGGAGGAAAAAAGGAAATCTTAAGAAAAAGATTACCTCAGATTGCTTCTCATCAATTTTTCAGCTGTTAAATTCAGCACAGAAACAGACTCCATAGCATAGATGCTATTCCTACTACATGAACGTCTAAAACATGCAGTGAGTTAAGCAAAATCCTTAAGTGGCATCTATTCAGCAAGACTAGTTTCAAAGTATCCTTGGCAGCAAGTAAATTGTTCCCAGTTACAATCTGTGCAGTGTATTCATTTTAGTGCAACTACAAGATTAAGATATAGGTCAACCCTCATGGTGAATACAAATCTTTTTTCCAGTCTCCTTGCAATTGCTGGCTAACTACAAAACTTACTCTCCAGCAGTTCCTCTGTAGGAATTGAGATTCCCTATCAGACAACAAGGCAACAAGTTTAGCTCAATGGAGCTCTGTTTTGAAAGAATAGGTACAGAAGTTTCCTACAAGTATATGACTGTGCCCATATGTCCTACCAGTTTAATGAAACAGTATGAAAACCTCTGCTTATCACTGAAGTTAGCCATGGAAGGTGCAGGTAGAGGGAGAATCACTTCCTCTCTTCTGGCAGAATGAGAGAATTTCTACCTCTTAGTCTTTGAACAAAGGGAAAAAAACCCAAGAATCAAATAATACCAGCAATCAGAAAAAAATAAGAGAAGATTTTTTTTAACATTCTTAATGAATGATCAACAGAAGAAGCAGAAGGCGATCACTGCTGTGATAAGCAGAAGATAGCCAGCTTCAGCTGGAACACACACAGTTACCATTTTTTTAGCTGCTTTTGCCAATGCCCCATGGACTCCTTAATATTCTTTCCCCAGCCCCCAATGTTCAACTTCTTCATAATCTGTATTAATACTATATCTTTAAAAAAATAGCACCCATTTCTTTAGGCCTGAGTTTTCTTGCATTCACCTCAAGTTTTCAATAAATTGATTCAAGCAAAGTTTATGACCACAGAGTTAGGATTTAAAGCTATAGTTAAAAGACTCACTACTAAAAGAAATCCTCATTAAAAACATCTTCTGAAGTCAGGAAATGTAATACTTGAACCATTTTTACTCATCCTTCTTAAAACCCCTCCCTTCAACGTACTCACATTCCAGATGACTGTTTCCAGACCAGACATTAGGAATGAACAAGTATTCAAGGCAGCATTTGACACAGTCTCTAGGCTTGTACCAGACTCTACTAGAGAAAGCGGTACTGTTACTGTAGGAAATCAAAACACTGATGAAGTGATGACGACTTATTTTCTTTCAGAATGGTTCTTGACAAAAATTGGAGCAAGAAAGGTCTTCCTGCTATAATCTGCTGCCAAAAGCTGGACCCCAAACACCCTCTCCTAATTAATTCTGGATATTAATGAACAGGTTTACCTCACAGTAGCGATTTAAGTTTGGCAACAGCTCTTAATCCTTCATGTACTGTACCATGTACTTTCTTGGGCCTACTAATTGTATTAGGTCAATTGACTCTAAACATATGGTTTTTAAAGGCTGAATTAAGCTATCACAATTTCATATTCATAAACACAACTTTCTGATAGTGGAAAAGCAGTCAAGACAGAAGAGTTGCATGCTAGCACAGCCATAAATGCACACTTGAACAGCCCTTAATTTTGTCACCTAACTTCCACATATGCAACAGATGGTTCATCTGACATGAACAGTCTCATCTCACCTTAGCTTTTTTTTTTAATATACATTACCAGTGAGAACACATCCTTCAAGGTCTGGGTACATCTCTCTGGCTTCACAGAACTTGTATGTATCTTTTCTACACCTTGGGAAGTGGGCTGCTGGCTTATAACATTACCTACAAAGCCCATATAACTGTGCTTGATATCTAATCTGAACTCCAGTAACATAACTTTAAATTTCAACTTCCTACTGCATACATGAAAATGAACCCAAACCACAGAACTTACCTCTAGAGAAAACGTTACGTTACTTTCCTGAAATATTATTGACAGCCTAAAAGCACATCCCCAGTAGCACTGGATAAGGTTGTCTACTAAAAGAGTGCTTTCTGGCTTTAGAAACACTATATAAATTGCACATTCCCCACACCTGCCCTGGTGGAAAGAAGGGTGTGGGAGGTAGAAACCCCAGGAGAGGAAGTAGATGACAACGTATGAGAAGCACACAAAACCCAACCTGCATAACAACACAAGAAGCAGGAAAAAAAAGTATTATAGTAACATAATGCAGGCCCCAGAAATGCTCTATAAATATTTGCATGAGAAAACCGTTCTGATAACGCTAACATCAGCGTTACCAGCTCCTCAGCAAGAAAATGCATACTAGGGAGGAAAAAAATGTCTCACTTCGGTTTTGAGCAGAGCAAGCATTACAAAGGAGGCTCCTGACGAGCTGTTTAAAGGCAGGAACCAGACTGAACAATGTGTTCA